GGTTGCGCGCCCATTCTATGGGAACCAGGCAGAACATCAGACAAAACACAGGTGCAGTTCTCATAAGATAAGCAATAGGCAAGCATTACAGCATCTTCTCCCCCACACATCCACCAGCAGTTATCTTATGCATTCCAGCACAGAAGCAGGATGGTAGAAACAAGCCGGGTGCAACAGGGTAAGGATATGTACACAGAGGTCACACAAAACAGAATGGCAGCTTGCTGACATTGGGTGTGGCCTGTCATGCTAATGAGTTCCTGCTGGGCGTGGCCAACTGGGGAGCCAGCCGGAACTCCGTTCCTGTGCGTTCCTGCCCAAAAATAGCCCTGCCTGCTTCTCTTCTTGTCCTCTGGGTGTGTGTGTGTGTGTGGCAGAGTCCACCCCTTTTTTGCATCCTATGGGGCTCGGACCTGAGAGGGACCCCCCTCTAACCCCCACCACCTGTGCCGTCGCCAAGTAACGGCACGCCCAGCATGGCAAACAGGCTGGCGATGGCCGTCGACCCTCTCTCTCTCTCTCTCTCTGGCCACCGCGACATGCGGGTGCAGCCCCCTGAAGACCCCCCCATAACCAGCCTCGCCCTCCTGCAGACCCCAACGCCCTCCAACACTGCCTCTCCCCAAGTGGGTGGCCAGACCCGCGTCCCCAGCCCCACCGACACACTCACCGCCAGCCGGTTCCGTGTGGCCGCGTCCAGCATGACCAAGTCCTTGAGGAAAGTGCCCAGGTAGGGGACCACGCCCTGGGGGAGGGGGAGGAGGGGAGAGGAAAGTCAGGCTGGGGGAGACGAAGAGCGACGGAGGCGTCATCCCCTCCTCCCTGCTCCTTTTCGCTACAGTTGCCGTTGGAGTCTTGTGAGCTGGCTCACGCTAACTCAGCTTAGAGGGAACACTGGCTGCCATACTCCCTCTAAGCTGTGGAGTCTTGTGAGCAAAAATCCTACTTCGTGAGCTGCTGGCATTACAGTGTTGAGCGAGCGGCATCAATCAGTGTGCTCTGGAGCCCTCCTTCCTGGGCTAAGACAAAAATGTGTGAGCCGGAGGCTAAAAAAGGGTGAGCCGGCTCGCGCTGACTCAGCTCGGAGGAAACACTGGCCGCAATGCCTCCCTCTAAGCCGTGGAGTCTTGTGAGCAAAAATCCTACTTCGTGAGCTGCTGGCATTACAGTGTTGAGCGAGCGGCATCAATCAGTGTGCTCTGGAGCCCTCCTTCCTGGGCTAAGACAAAAATGTGTGAGCCGGAGGCTAAAAAAGGGTGAGCCGGCTCGCACTAACTCCGCTCGGCAGGAACACTAGACGTGGGACCTTCTGCATGCCAAGCAGAGGCTCTTCCACCGAGCCACAGCCCCTCCCAAACCAGAGACCCTCTGAACTGGAGGTGCTGAACCTGGGACCTGCCCTGTAGACGCATAATCAGAGGAGGGCGACCCAGATGACGAGGGGGGTTGGAGCCCCTTCCCTCGGAGGAAAGGCGGAAGAGCCCGGGACTTTTCCGTTGAGAAAAGAGACAACTAAGGCGGTGGCTCAAGTGGTTAAGACGCTGAACTGCAGGCTGTGGAAAGTCGGTAGTTCAGCAGTTCGAGACCCAGGTGCCGCATGACGGAGTGAGCTCCCGTCTCTAGCTCCAGCTCCTGCCAACCTAGCAGTTGGAAAGCAAGAAATTGCAAGTAGATAAATAGGTACCGCTTTGGTGGGAAGGTAACAGCGTTCCATGCGCCTCAATGTCTAGTCATGCCGGCCACATGACCACGGAGGCGTCTTCGGACAGCGCTGGCTCTTCGGCTTGGAAACGGAGATGAGCACCGCCCCCCTGGAGTCGGACTTGACTGGCTTTCGAGCAAGGGAACCTTTACCTTTACCTTTAAGGCAGGAACATGATAGACCTTTGTAAAATGATACCTGGGGCGGAGAAAGCTGACAAAGAGAACTTTTTCTCCCTCCCCCCAAATACTGGGACTCGAGGGCATCCAACGAAGCTGATGGGCAGTGGGTTCAGGACGGACAGAAGGAGATACTACTTTACACAGAGAGTGATTAGAATGCGGAGTTTGCTGGCAGGGGGATCTCTTGATGGCCACAGGAATAGACAGCTTTACAAGAGGATGAGACAGATTCACAGAGAAGAAATCTGTCAACGGCGACGAGACATGGTGGCTAAAGGGAACCTCCATGTTCAGAGGCAGTCAACCACTGAATACTAATGCCCAGCAGGAAACATCAAGGGAAGGCCTCAGCCTTTATGCCCTGTTGTTCGCTGACCAGAGGAACTGGTTGGCCACTGTGTGGAGACAGGAGGCTGGACGGGATGGACCCTCACTGCTCTGACCCAGTAGGGCTCTTCTGATGCTCTTATCAGGGGAAGGCCTCGGCCTCTCTGCCCTGTTGCTGGCCCTCCAGGGGAACTGGCTGGCCCCTGTGTGAGATGGGAGGCTGGACTAGATGGACCCTCGTTGGTCTGATCCAGCAGGGCTCTTCTGAGGTTCTTCTCAGGGGAAGGCCTCGGCCTCTCTGCCCTGTTGCTGGCCCTCCAGAGGAGCTGGTTGGCCACTCTGTGAGACGGGATGCTGGACTAGATGGACCCTCACTAGTCTGACCCAGCAGGGCTCTTCTGGTGTTCTTCTCAGGGGAAGGCCTCGGCCTCTCTGCCCTGTTGCTGGCCCTCCAGAGGAGCTGGTTGGCCACTCTGTGAGACGGGATGCTGGACTGGATGGACCCTCACTAGTCTGACCCAGCAGGGCTCTTCTGGTGTTCTTCTCAGGGGAAGGCCTCGGCCTCTCTGCCCTGTTGCTGGTCCTCCAGGGGAACTGGCTGGCCCCTGTGTGAGATGGGAGACTGGACTAGGTGGACCCTCCCTGGTCTGACCCAGCAGGGCTCTTCTGAGGTTCTTAGGAAGTCCTCGGCCTCCCTGCCCTGTTGTTGGCCCTCTGGGGGAACTGGCCGGCCCCTGTGTGAGACGGGAGGCTGGACTAGAGGGACCCTCCCTGGTCCGACCCAGCAGGGCTCTCCTTATAACCCACCCCCACATCTCACCGTGGGGCGCTGCTCCAGTGTTTTCCGCTGATGCCTCCGCTGGGTGGGCTCGGCACCGGGGCAGCCTTCCTGTGGGGTGGGGTGGGGAAACAGGAAGCCAGAGGGGTCTGATGAGCGGAGATATCCCTGCCGGCAGAGGCTGGGACTTCAGTGGGGAGCCCCCCCCCCAGAGCAGGGCCGGAAGCCAGGTGGAGGAGGTGGCCGGGGTGTCGCACAGCGTCCTGCCTCTTGCCCACCTGAAAGAGGAGCTGACGGCTCTGGCGGTAGTTGTCCTTCTCTGAGCAGATGGCGCTGAGTCCCTCATAGCAGTGGATGCAGTCCCTGGGGGCAGCCAGACCCAGAGAGAGAGAGAGAGAGAGAGAGAGAGAGAGAGTCATCCCCACGGGGAACAGCCCCAGTGCCCCCCCCGACTCTACCCCATACGAGGGATGCCCAATCCTGGCCCCTCCTCATCTCTCAGTCTAGCCTACCTCGCAGGGTCGTAGTGAGGACCACTTTGGGGGCAGGCTGGGGCGAAAACATAGCCTGAAAGTAAAACTCGAGGTACCTGGCAACCAGTGTTCCCTGTAAGCTGAGTCAGTGTGAGCCGGCTCAGTTTTTTAGCCTCCAGCGCATACATTTATGTCTTAGCTCAGGAAGGAGGGCTCCAGAGCAGTGTCCCCTCTCAGCTGAGTTAGTGTGAGGCAGCTCACAGTTCTTTAGCCTCCGGCTCACACATTTCTGTCTTCGCTCAGGAAGGATGGCTCCAGAGCAGTGTCCCCTCTCAGCTGAGTTAGTGTGAGGCAGCTCACAGTTCTTTAGCCTCCGGCTCACACATTTCTGTCTTCGCTCAGGAAGGATGGCTCCAGAGCAGTGTCCCCTCTCAGCTGAGTTAGTGTGAGGCAGCTCACAGTTCTTTAGCCTCCGGCTCACACATTTCTGTCTTCGCTCAGGAAGGATGGCTCCAGAGCAGTGTCCCCTCTCAGCTGAGTTAGTGTGAGGCAGCTCACAGTTCTTTAGCCTCCGGCTCACACATTTCTGTCTTCGCTCAGGAAGGATGGCTCCAGAGCAGTGTCCCCTCTCAGCTGAGTTAGTGTGAGGCAGCTCACAGTTCTTTAGCCTCCGGCTCACACATTTCTGTCTTCGCTCAGGAAGGATGGCTCCAGAGCAGTGTCCCCTCTCAGCTGAGTTAGTGTGAGGCAGCTCACAGTTCTTTAGCCTCCGGCTCACACATTTCTGTCTTCGCTCAGGAAGGATGGCTCCAGAGCAGTGTCCCCTCTCAGCTGAGTTAGTGTGAGGCAGCTCACAGTTCTTTAGCCTCCATCGCATACATTTGTGTCTAAGCTCAGGAAGGAGGGCTCCAGAGCAGACTAATTTAATGCAGTAGCCAAATCGCTGGCTCATACAACTTTAATCCCAGCAGCTCACAAAGCAGAATTTTTGCTCACAAGACTCCACAGCTTAGAAGGAGCATTGCCGGCAACTGGGATTGTTTTTAAGCAAACAGTGAAAAAGAAGGGGGCAAATTCTTCTTCCTCAGCTCTTTGGGTGTGTCTCATTCCACCCCCTGCAAAACAGTTGCTGCTTCTGGGCCTTATTATGGCTGGATGCAGGTGGCCAAGATCTGGGGTTTGCAAGGGAAAGGAGAGCAAGAGATGGGCCATTAAAGGGAACCTCCAAATTCAGAGGCAGTGAACCTCTAAATCCCAGTGCCAAGAGGCAACTTCAGGGGAAGAGGAGGAGTGGGAGGGGGAGATTGGATTTATACCCCGCCCTTCACTTGGAGTCTCAGAGCGGCTTACAAACTCCTTTCCCTTCCCCTCCCCACAACAGACACCCCCTGTGAGGCAGGTGGGGCTGAGAGAGCTCTCCTGAGAACTATCCTTGAAGAAGAAGAAGAGATTGGATTTACACCCCGCCCTTCACTACCCAAGGGAGTCTCAGAGCGCCTTACAAACTCCTTTCCCTCCCCCTCCCCACAACAGACACCCTGTGAGGTAGGCAAGGCTGAGAGAGCTCTTGATAGAAACTGCTCTTTTTCAAGGACAGCTCTGACAGAACTATGGCTTGCCCAAGGTCATCCAGCAGGTGCAAGTGGAGGCGTGGGGAATCAAAACCCGGTTCTCCCAGATTAGAGTCCACGCACTTAACCACTAAGAAGAAGAAGAGATTGGATTTCTACCCCAGCCTTCACTACCTGAAGATGTCTCAGAGCGGCTTAGAAACTCCTTTCCCTTTCCCTCCCCACAACAGACACCCTGTGAGGTAGGCGGGGCTGAGAGAGCTCTGACAGAAACGGCTCTTTTTCAAGGACAGCTCTGACAGAACTATGGCTTGCCCGAGGTCATCCAGCAGGTGCAAGTGGAGGCGTGAGGGACTCAAACCCGGTCCCTCCCAGATTAGAATCCGCCCACTTAACCACGACGCCGAACCGGCTTTAGGTAAATTTATTTTGTCCTCTTTTTCCTAAAAAAAATTCTTGTACTATTTTATAAATACTGGTGTCAAGTATTTCAAAACACAGATTCACCCCGACGCCAGAAACGGGGCATCTAAAGTAGAACGTCCACATTCAGAGGCAGTCATCCTCTGCATCCCAGGGCCAGAAGACACCACCAGGGGAAGGCCTCGGCCTCTAGGTCTTGTTGGGGTTTTTTGGGGGGCCTTTCAAGATGGCTGGCAGGACTAGATGGACCTTCACTGGTCTGATCCCACAGGGATCTTTCCTTATATTCTTAGGAAGCCCCCCCGGGGCTGGTTCCCCCCGTGCCCCTACCTGGACGTCTCTTCCCAGGTCCGCTTGAGCCGATGCAACGACGTGGACTGGAGGGCCGAGACCACGGCGTAGAGGCTGGAGAAGTTCCGGAGGAAGAAGCACTCCTGGAAAAGAGCCAAGGGGGGAGAGGGAGACGCTTGGATCGGGCCGGGCCGGGCGAGGAAGACTTAGGGGGTCCAGGAAACAGGCCCCACCTCAGCCACGGACGACGTCCACGGGGGGCACCCACCTCGGCCACGCGGATCCACTTCTCCAGGAGGCGGGCCCGTTGCGCGGCGCGCAGCCCCGTGTCGCTCAGGCAGGAGGCCACGACGGCGTTGGCCACCCGGTTGAACTGGGCCACCGTGGCCCGGACGGTGGGGCAGGCCCCCTCGTGGCCCTTCTTGTCGCGCTGAGACCAGAAGGAGCCCAGGCACTCGTGGGGCACCAGGCGGAGGAAGAGCTCCTGCGGAAGGGGGCGGGAGAGGGAGCCTCGGGTCAGAGGGAGCCCCGGGACCAGCCTGGCCTTGTGGGCACGTGGCGTTGCTAGCCTCCAGGTGGGCAGAGAAAAATACATGATGCTGTATGTAATAAATGAGAAGAAGAAGAGGAAGAAGAAGAGGAGGAGGATGAAGACGAGGAAGAAGAAGAAAAGGAGGAGAACGTTGGATTTATACCCCATGCTCCTTCACTACCCAGAGGAGTCTCAGAGCGGCTCACAAACTCCTTTCCCCTCCCCTCCCCACAACACACACCCTGTGAGGTAAAAGAAGAAGAGATAAGGAAGGAAGGAAGGAAGGAAGGAAGGAAGGAAGTAGTAGTAGAAGAAGAAGACATTGGATTTATACCCTGTCCACTACCCAAAGGTGTCTCAGAGCGGCTTACAAACTCCTTTCCCTTCCCCTCCCCACAACAGACATCCTGTGAGGGAGGTGGGGCTGAGAGAGCTCTTGACAGAAACG